TCAGCTGCTTCTGAGAAGAGGGAGCGGGGGGGTGGGTACCTGGTCTGGCCGGATCCCTGGGGCGGATCCAGGGCACCGCGCTTGGCCTGGCTGAGGATGCGGCCGCTTACGCGATCGCACGGGGGGGGGGGGGGGGGCCCCCCGCCCCCCCCCCCACCGCGGGGGGGGGGGGGGGGCCGGGGGGGGGGTGGCCGGCGCCCCCGGCGGGGGGGGGGGGGGGGGGGGGAGCGGCCTCCGACGCCCCTCGCATCACTGGGGCGAGGGGGGAGAAGCGGGGCCGGGACCCAGGCCCGCTCGCCACGCGGCTCCGGGCTCCCGCCGGGCCGCACCCAAGGCCGGGGGGCGCAGGGCCGGGCCGGCCCGGCGGGCGAGCCTGCGGCAGCGCAGACGCCCCTCCAGCGCCGGCGCAGGCTCGGAGCCGCCGGCGCGCACGGTGGGGTGGTCGTCTCTGCAGGAGACCGTGCGGCTGGGCTGCGGGCGAGCAGGGGGGATCGGCGATTAAAGGACGTTGTGTCAAAAATAAAATGGGGGGGGCTGGAGGAGGAGGAGGAAGCAACTCTCTTCCAAGCGCGTCTAAGTTGAAGGTGATGTTTTCTTCCCTTTTGTCATCAGAGAAGAGAAATTCTTCTCCCCCCCCCCCGCTAAAAAAAGCTGCTAGGAAAAGCTGCACTCTGCAGCCCCCCACAAACAGCCCACCCCGTCCCCAGTGCTCCGAAACCGGCGCTGCATCCGTCTTGCTGTGTCCCTGCATTTTAATTACCATCTTATTAATATTCATGAGACTAGGCACTCAAGGGGGATTACAGTCTGTCATTCTCCCTCACTCTTGCTCTCCTCCTCTTCCCCCTCCCCGGCCGCCCCGCCCCGCTCCTTCTGGCGGGCCTGCTTTTCATTTTCCCCTTCTCCCAAGCAGGCGCTGCGCAGTCCGCAGACGACGCAACCCGTCCTCATCTGCATATGTGATTTGGGTTGAGATGCCAGAGGTAGCAGATGTGCGCGCGCCTCGGTGTGTGTGTGTGTGTGTGTGTGTGTGTGTGTGTGGGAGAGAGGGAGAGAGGGAGAGAGGGAGAGAGGGAGAGAGGGAGAGAGGGAGAGAGGGAGAGATTGATTGATTTGGGGCTGCAGAGGTTTTGAATCTAGCCCCCCAAATTATAACCTTCCTGATCCTGATCTCAGCTGCCTCTTAACCCAGGGGGTCGAGAGATCCCAGGTCTCCCTATTGATGAGGAGTGGGCTGCACACAGGCCTGGGCCCACATCCGGCCCCCCACCGCTCCCCAGTTGTTCAGGGGGAAGGAAGGACATCTCTTGGTTTGCACCAGAAATCTGGCAGCAGGGTGCGAGGGCGGCCTGGAATGGGCCACATTGCTCCGAACGAGCCACATCCGTCCCTTCTGAGGCCGGGCCCGGGCTGCAGAAGCCTGCAATGGGCTTCCCTCACAGGGCTGCAGCCCCCGAGAGCCGGGGGAGCAAGAGTTGCCCACCCCTGCTGCAGCTGCTTTGGGCGCAGTCTCTTGGTGGGGAGGGGAGACAGGCTGGAGTGATGAGCACCGGGGGGCGCGGGGGGGGGCGAGGCCAGGAAGGTGGCGGGCAGGAGGAAGAGCATGATGCTTGGGCCGAACTGGTATAGCAATGAGGAGGCTGCCTGGGACTCCGCGGGTTCCGGTCCCACTCAGCCAGCGACTGGGCCAGTCGCTTACTCTAGGCCTGACCTACCTCATGGGGTGGTTGTGAAGGTGAAAATCAAGAGGAGGGGGTTAGGGAGGCTGTCTTGTCCTCCTTGCAAGAGGAAAAAGGTAAGATTTACCAGCAAAAATAAATGAAGATAGTGATATGATGGTTTGAACAGAATGGAATTGTCACCCATCTGCGCAAACCACTCCAAGCACACAGAAGACCATGCCAAACCTGCTCTGTGAAACTTGCACTAGATCTGAACACACAGGTATTTCCCAACCTAGATTTTTAAAAGGAAAGTCCTCAGGTGTGCCTACAGGAGAATCCCTCAGGTAGGCAATAGAGAAGTTCACACAACAGTTTTGCTTTCTCCCTTGGGATGAATGCAGAATGTGATTCTGATCATTTTTGATCCGGATTTTCCGGATTTGAACCTCCCAGATGTAACATGGATTGCTGAAGTGCTCACATTTCTGAGTCTTGCAATGCAATTAATTGACCAAAAATGTCTGACAACAAACATTTGGGAAACATGTACAAATATGTTTTAATCAATGGGGAAAAGAATGCATGCATTTCAAGGATATACATAGCTGGGGAAATATGTGTGGATTTTCATGAGGAAAAGGAAAAACAGAAACCAAGCTTGCCATTTGATACTTGCTTGAGGGGGAACAAACTTTGAGTTAGAATTTGGAGAGCTTCACTAACCTTGAGTTTTACTGACAGCACATTTCACTTACACTGAGATGTTTAAACATTCCAATTATTCATCTCCTGAATATGAACAACAACTGAGAATTTTGCAACCTTCTTTTCAAAAATGATTGGAAAGAAAAGCCTCAGCAATCCGCACTGGCCAAATTCAAGAGGCGCAGCGATTCACGCACAGAAAGGGAACTGGTACTCCGCTCCTGCTACAAACGGAAGCCCGTCCAGAAAGGAAGTGGCAGCCCTTGAGAACTAGAAGCTTGGCTGGCTACAGAGGCATTCCGGCCAGGGCGACGGGCCCAAGCCTTGGACTTGCATGGACAACTGTCTTTTGCTTACTCCACTTGCAGGACAACAGAAACCACCTCTGGCCCTTTTTGTACCAAACATGAAGAAATGTAAGAATTGTGACACCAAAGTGCGAGGAAATTCACACCCCTATCCCAAACTGCCCGTCCACAGCAGCTTGTTCTTTCCAGGTTTTACTGCCTATTTCAAGGTCTTGTTTTGTCCAGGACAAAACGCACATTTTGTAGAGAAGCGTGGTCTGGAAAACCCAACAAGAATGCTTATGCCTGGAGATGGGACTGAGATTTCGTACTGTGCGGCGGCCATGCCAAGGGTGGGGGTTGCTCATTTTTCAACACTTTCCAGGCGGGTGATGGACGCTCCTAAGACGCTCCTTTCCCAGAAGTCACCAGAGCAAGAAGGCAGAGTGGGGTCTGTCTGAGCTCCTGAGTGCAAAACTGTTCTTTTGAGCCCAAATACAGATCTCAAGAAATAAAGTAGTAATTGGAAGGAGCAGGAAGCCTGCTGGGCCCTGAGCAGGGCAGGCCCCCCTGGTGCTGTGCTGGAGAACCTGGGGGAAAACAGATGACTAACCAACAACGGTTTTTGATTTTCGAAGCTGTGGCACTTGCATCTGCAGATCACACTTCTAGAATGTTGCAGAGAGGCAGCAGATTTTGGCAACCTTGCCTCTCCAATTCCAGAATAGATTCTGGTGGCCATTTTCTCATCCTGGTGGAATTAGCAATGGCTGAGAAATTTGGGATTTGAGAAGAATTGGTGGAATTTCACAAGACGTTTCGTTTCTTGTTTAATGAATGGGGAAGAAGGCAAGGCAGGTCCTGCCAGCCAAGCCCATGGCTCAGGGTGCTTAGCTCTTAAGGCAGCTATCTGATCATTCCAGTGAGCAGCGGGGCTGACACCTCTTTTTTCGGGTGGGCTCCTCAGCTTTATAAATAGCACAGCATCCTGACGGATCAGGGCCCCTTGATGCCAGGAATAGCTCTTCGTATCAGATTTTAAAACGAAAACCTGATGCAGGAGACTTTCGCCCTTCCAGATGCCTTTCTCCTTCCCTTCATGGGATGCAACAGAATTGTGGCAACCTGTGCTGGATGGCTGAAGCGATCCGTCATGGTGCGCACTGATCCTGCTCGGAGGCTCCAACTGCATGGGCTGGGTCTTGTGACTGCAGCTTGTTTCCCTAAGCAGATCCTTACAACAGCACTATAAATCATGGGCAGACTCGCCTCCACAAAAGCGAGCTGCGCTCTCCAAATCTCAGCACTACTCAAGAGGAATCCCTCCCATTTCCCAGGGCACCTACGAGAGCTGGAATGAAAAAATCAATTTAGGCTGCTTTTACTATCACTTTACCCACATTTGCAACGTTCTCCGTATTCAGGACAAAAATATCTTGAGAGTCTTATGTATGTATGTAATAAATAAAAGTGGGATGCACTAGAATTGTATGCAAAGCTTGCCCCCAGATTATCCACTTTTCTGTGGTGCACAAGAGAAATTGTAGTGGGTGGGGAGACAATGTACCAAATTTCTCCAGTAGTTTCTCACTGGTTGGGCTGCTATGCAAGCATCCTCCTTTTTGTAAGGGTTTTTTTTGGGGGGGGGGGTCCCACTGCAAGTGATAACATCAACCATGATGGCATTTTGCCCCCACATCTTGCACCCATTGCAATGCAGGTGAGAGGGAGGGTGGTGGCGTGCCCCCCTTCAGGGAAAGCTAGTTTTGAGCCAAAATTCTCTGAAAATTTTCTCCTCCCAAGAAACCCTAAACCTTGAAGGGGCACCTCTTGCAACCACAATTCACCCACATAACATCTGAAGCTTTCCATGTGTGTCACCTCTAAGGGAGGTTCGGCTGGAGGCAGCGAGCAGGAGCAGGGCCTTCCTGGTGGTGGCTCCCCATTATGGAATGATCTCCCTAGCGAGGTCTGCCTGGTGCCAGCTTTGTGTCTGATCAAGACAGCCCTCTGCAAAACAAAGACAGGTGGGCTATGCATGTACTAATAATAAATAAAATGCATCTTCATAAAAGAAAAACCCCAAGCCATGAGAATGTATCCAAAATATCCATCACCCAAGTGCCTCTTCCAAGGGAGCGTCAGAAGGCTGCAGTGCAGGGGACCGCCTTCCTCGTGGTGGCCCCTCAATTTGGGATGATGTCCCTGATGAAGCCCACCTGGGACCAACACTGTTCTCTTTTCAGAGCCTGGTGAAGACTTTTGTCTTCTTTTGGGCATTTGGCAGCACATGAAGAATCTTAAATCCAACCTCAAGTTAGTTTCTTGTTCTTTAGAATTGTTTTTAGAGGGATATTTATTGTGCATTTATATGTTTGTACACATGTGACTTTTATAATGTGTTTCTAAGGTTTAAATCTTCGTGAACTTCTCGGGGAGCTCCAGCTCACGCTGGGTGGGTGGAGACAAAATGACATGCCTGTTCTTCACCACTGGATTTCTTCCCAGAAGCAAAGGACTTTTCTCTCAAGCTGAATGGAGGTAGTCAAAAGATGTGGGAGAAACTTTCAGCACAACACTGGGGGAAACTAAGGTGGGTGGCTCTGCTCGCCCTGGAGTGCTTAGTGTCGGAAGGCCCAGGTTCGCATCCCCACCTTCAACCATGTCAGCACTTGGGCAAATCTGCTACTTTTTCTCCTGGAACGTCGCAGTCCCTGCCATTCTGGAAATAGCTGGACCTGCCCTTTCGGCCAGGGCAGATCCCTCCAGCGGGCTGAGAATACGACCATGCCTACCTCCACAGAGGTTTCTCGCAGAAAGACCTTTTTGAGAAGCCCGTGCAGGGGAAAACAAAACTGACAGATTTCCCATCCCCAGACCGGGGCCAGAATTCGGGAGGGGTGGCCTCTGTGCGGTTCCCATCCCCGCCCGCCAGCGCGTCCCCTGCTGCTGCGCACCTGCGACTGACTGACCCACCGGCGGCCGGCGAGGCTCCCTGCGCTTTCCCCGCGGTCCTGCGAACTCAGCTCCAGCACCATTTGAATTAAGGTCCCCCAGGGAGTCCCGTCGCCAGGTCCTGATTTCTCCTCCTTCATTATATCTTGGCGTAATTTACCGAGGGATGGCATCAGCCTCTGATGGAGCGAATTCCCAGCAGGAGCCTTGAGAGCCCTCGCAAATCAGGCACGGGCTGGGGGAAGGGGGAGCCATTAGAATATGAAAAGGTGGGGCAGGCTGCCAGGCAAGAGGGCCTCCCCTCCCCATCTCCCCCCCCACCCTTTCTCTTGCTCCCCAGAACAGGGGAAGACCCCGCCCAGGACCCCGGAGAGGCCGAGCTTGCCAGGCTGGGCAGGGAGCAGCACGGCTTGGCCACCAGCTGCTGCCAACCAGGCGCCTCTTGCAGGAGAGGAGCTCTTGGGCAACGTGAAGGCGAGCAGATCCGCCGCTGCGTCCAGCAGCCACGCGCATGTGTGAGCCCGCCGGAGCAGACGAACGCCTTCCTCACCAGCTCCATTAGAACTGATCTCAGAACCACGGAAGGGCAGAGCCAGAAAGGGGCCATCAGATCCACCCACCTGCTCAGCCCAGGACTTCAGAGGCTGCCCAGCTGCATCTCGCCTGCCTCCAGTGGGGGGGAGCCCGCCCCCTCCCCAGGTCATGGGTTCCAATGTGTGCAGACCTGTCACTTCCTGTGATTTTAAAACTTTCGTTTCCCCAACCACTGATGCTCCACAACTGAAATATTACCCAGAGCCCCCCCCCCCCAGGTCCCCAGGCTTCCTGCTCTGGAGTGGTTCCCTCCTCTCCTGGAGCCCTTTACTTCTGAGGACCTCCCTCACTTCTGAAAAGATGGGCTGCTTCGGCTCTCCGGCAGCCACTCATCCAAGCCTCCTGCTCCTTTTGGTGCTGATGCTGTCTAGGGGTGGGCATTCCCTTAAGAGTGGACAGGTGTCCTCTTCTACAGATGGCAGTCCTCCATCCGAAGCGGTGTCTTGCCCAATTCTAATCTGAAAATGAAGAACCATCATAAGTATATTTTAAGAGGCGAGTGGGGACGCAGCGGCAGAGGCAGAGAAAGGCTGAAGGCACAAAAACAGGAGGGGAAGGCGCACCCTGCGGGCCCGATCCACCCCTCCGTGAGGGAAGGCGGACTTCAATGGGGAAAAATGTTTCCAGGTTCCCCCACTAGCAGAAGCTGGATTCCCTTCTTCCCACGACCATCACCGAGAAATGCAATTTGAGAGAAACTCAGTTTTTAATCCGGAAGCTCCTGGATGCTTCAACAAGCACTGGTTCCAACAGCTTTGAGGACGCAGGGCTGCTGTTCTGCCGAGGCCAAGGATGGCAGCAATCTCCGCCCCTCCCTCTGGCGTGATGTATGCGGCCATCACTGACAATGGACACTGATGGGGAGCCAGGCTGTCCGAAGCAGCCTTGCAGCGCCTCTTGGTCCATGAGCAGGATGAGGCTCGGACTGTGTTAGGCAAGCCAGACGGGCACTTGTGCTGCATCCGTGTCAGAACAGGAATGCATTCGGTGCTCTCCGAGTGCTCGATTCTATATCCTGCTCACAGCAAGCTCGGCCTCAACATTTGTGAACAGACACATTTTCTGAAGTTGCTGCAGAGCTGGGCAAAGATCCCCAGAGGCTTAGAACTCCAGTTCCCAGAAGCCAGCATGGCTGAAAGTCAGGAATGCTGGGAGGTGAAGTCCCAAACCTCTGGAATCCTTCCTTTTCCACAAGCCCCCATTTTCTGGAGGGGGACTTGTTGCTTTTGAACACCGGCATAGAGCAGAAAATTTGGGCTGCAAGCCCCAGACTCACTGGGGCTTCCTGGGGAAAGGGCCACCGGCTCACACAGCTGTGGTAGCCCTGAAAAGCAGCAGCTGCAGGAGAAAGCCAGTTCCTGCAGCTGCATGGGGGGGGGGGTGAACTTCTCTGCCCCCTCCTTCCCACAGCAGCTGCTCGAGGCCCCTGCTGGATGGCCGAGCCGTGATGCCAGGGCAGGGGAGGACGCCCCCGAATCAGGCAGAAGGACCCTCCCCAGACAGAGTCCTTCCGCTCTCGGAAGGAGGAGCTCGCCAGGAAAATGCGGGTGTGGGTGCTTCACCTTCTGCAGGGAGAAGAAACCAAAAGGCCCCCCGCAATTTAAAGGCAGCCGACGGCGAATACGGGGGTGGGGGGGAGCCAGCCTGCCCCCAGGCACTAGCTTTCTACCTCCAAGGCACTGCAATGCAAGGGATGAGCGTTGGGAAGGTGCTTCCCGAAGAAGGGGCCCGGAGGGGCACAGGCCCTCCCTTCGCCCTCTGTTGCTGCCCCCACACCCACCCTCCGACGCCCCAGAAGCCGGTGCTTGGCCCCGGCATCTGGGGGCGGCGGGGGGGGAGCGGCCCGCGGGGCAGAGAGCGCAGCCAGGCTGTGACGGGCCGAGCGCCAGCCCCGTCCAGGGAGGGGCGTGGGCGGAGGGAGGGGAGCGGCAGAAAGGAATGTTCTCTCGGGATGGCGGAGCTGAGCTGCGGCTGGCACGCCCTCCGGAGCCAGAGCCTCCAAAGCCTTGAACCCTGGCTCCGTGTGCGTGGATGCCTGAGTGTGTACTGTGCCTGTGTGTGAGCCCTGCTGTGTGCGTGAGTGGACACTTTTGTGTGCTATTTCATGTGTGCATTGCTTGCGTGCATCCGCGCACGCCGTTTGCATTTGTGTGTGTGCATGTGACAGAGGGGGAGGGGAGAAATGTATGTGCGTGTGCTTGTGTTTCTATTTTGTTCAACTCTACACATTGTGTGAGCCTTCGTGTGTGCCTGCACACGCATCTCTGAGTGTGCATTGTGGGTGTGCATTTTGCATGTGTCTGTATGCATTTGCGTACCTCTTTCTGCACGCATTGTGTGCATGAATATATTTATGTGCCTCGTCTCTGTGCAGGTGTGTGCCTTTGTGTCTGTCTGCAGTGTGCACACATTCTTCCGTAAGCACTGCGTGTGCGAATGTGTGATGCGTGCACTGTCTGGAGGTGCAATTTCCTCTTTGTGTGCGTGCGTGCATGTGTGCACCTCCCTGCATGCGCTGTGCGCGTGTGGCGCTGTGTGCATACCACCCGCACGCACGCTGGCTCCCCCCCCCTCCCGTTTTTAACGTGCAGCATTTTCTCAACGGTTGCTCTGGACACATCCTGCTCCTCCGAGCCCGGAGTGACTCATGCGCTCCGCCGCTCGCTTCCTCCTCTGTGCGCGCCTTCTCCCTCCTCGGCTTCTCCTTTTAAATCACGCGCAGCCCGACATTGGCTGGTTCGAATCCCGCTCCCTCCCACCCCCGCCCCTCGCGTCTGCTTTCTCGCTTGCTCCCGAAATAATCCAACGCCAGCTGCCCCCCCGCTCGCTCGCACTCCCTTCGCCCTCCGCCCCCTCCCTCCTTTTCTATAACTCAAAAGCTTGTCAGCCCAGTTCCAGACTGCTGGCGCCAACCTTCTCTCTGGGAAGGGAAGAGAGGAAGGGAAAAAACCAAGAAAAAAGGGGAAGAAAAAAGCACACACAGGGAGAGAAAGCATGCGAGGCAGAAGAGGGGGGAAAGGAGCCCCTCCGCACGCACGCACATCAAAACAGCCCTTTATCTCCCTGGAATGTCCCCTCGCCTTCAGCTGCGCTCAGAGGCCCCCCCCCGCGCCCCCCGCCCCGAGCTGGCGGCCAGGATCGCGGCGGGCGCGCCCCGCGCTGCGCGAGGACGGCCGCGAGGGACGGAGCCCCGATCTCGGGGGCCCTTTGGCCCCCTGCAGTGCCGGCCGGGCCTCAAGGCAGTGCGCGCAGCTCCCCCCAGAGCTGCGCCCCCGAATCGACCTGAACGGGCCCCACAGCTGCCGGAAAAAGCCCCGGAGGGCCTTGGTGGCGCCGGGCCCACCGGGGCTCGACGGCGTTTGCCCCCAGGGGCTTCCCCTCCCGCCTGCTCCCCCACTATTTCTGCGGCGGGTTTTCTTCCTGCAGCCAACGCTCCCCGCTCACCTCTTCGTACGTCCTTTTTGCTTTAAAGATACACAAACACGGAGGCTTTCGAGCATGCGGCAATTAGCATATGCAAATCCGTGCCTTTTGTCGGTCCCCTGAGCCTGAGCCCCGGGATCTTTTCGGTTCCTGGCGCCACCCCTGAGCACACGGAGAGGGGCACGCGCGGGCGCCCACCCTCGCAGAGCGCGCGTAAATGCATAAATAAGGCAGAAAAAATGCAAAAGAAAAAACACAGCAAAAACAAACAACAACAAAGCACCCAAGTAAGCACACGATCTATTATTTATCCGGGCAATCAATTATTGAAAGAGCAGTCTCGGGGAAGGGGGGGCAGGGAAGGAGGTGTATGCAGGGAGGGGCCCTTGATGAAGAGCGTTGCCTGCGAGAGCAACTGAGCCCCATGAGTGCGGGTGGAGTCGCTGGCGGGGGGGCTGAAAGAACGGTTGGGTGGGTGGCTGATTTTCGGTTCGGGACACAGAGCCCCCTTGCTTCCCCCCCAACCCCCCTGCCAACTCTGCAGAGGAAGAAAGAAGCACTGGCGGGGGGGGGGTGCCACTTCCCTCAAGTTTCCAAAAGAAATGCAGAAGTGGGGGGAGCCATTTGCCTTCCTGAAGTGCTGCAGATCCCCTTTCAAGGGGGGGGGGGTCTTTATATGGCTGGCCAATTTGAAAGGTCTGTTTTACTTGAACACGTCCCTTTTTCTCCACCCCTCCACGCCAGACAGACCCCCGCGCTTGGAGAGGGAGGGGCGACCTGCATTTTCGTCGGGAGAAGACGGGGGTCAGCAACTGCCCCCCCTCCCGCGAGTGCTTGCTCTGGGATCGCGTTGCTTTCTGAGGCGCGCAGACGCCCACCGTGCGGGGAGTGCAGCTTCGTCATTTGGAGCCTGAGCTCCAGGGGGCATTTGGGGGGAGCTTTTGGGGGGGGGCTTGCGCAGGCGGGTCTGTTGCTTCAGCGGGGAAGCGCGCGACTCCCGCTCCCTGCTGCGCTGCCCCCCCCCCGGCAGATCGGCGCCGCAAATAGCAGCGGGGACGACAAACTTCGATGGGTGCCCCGCGGTTCCACCAGAACAGCGGAGAAAATGACGCTCGAGGCGGAGCAGGGGAACTCATTTATATGCCCCTTGGAACATCGAAATCCCGGAGCGGCCTGCATAGCCGTCTCCCAAGCACACTCACGGCAGGTCCTGCGGCCTCCCGGGCTGCCTCTGGAGGGCTGGCGGATTTTGCACCTGGGCTTCCTCCTCCTCTCCTTTTGATCCTCACAACCACCACCCAGGAGGGTCCTTGGCTGGGCGGAGATTCGAGGTCCTGTCTCCCCGGGCCTTGTCCAAGCCTCTAACCACTAGACCACACTGCCTGGACCACTGACTGTAAAATGTTCTACAACTAAGGAGGATGGGGTAACAGTGGCAACCAGTGCAGCAGAGCCTGGCTGGCCGTTCTCTGGGTGGACATTTCAGGGTGGGGGGGCTATGCTGACCACCTGGCCTGCAGCCCCCGGCAGCCCTAACCTTTTCAGCTGTAACACCCACTACCCACTACAGGCAGCCATAGGTAGATTCGGGGACTAGCAGAAGGAAGCGGCAAGCCCCTTTCCTTCTCGCCAGTCCCACACCCAGCCCCCCCCCCCCCAGCAGCCATTCACTCTGCAAGGGGTTCGTGCTCAGGACTGGGAGGGGTGGACACAGAGTGACAGAGAACCCCCTGTGGGGGGGGCGCTCTCAAGGTGCCGTGTTTAAAACACCCACAGGCAGTTAAAGGGGAGCACCCCACACAAGTGCCGATGTTCACCCTACGATCTGTATGTGGTTTGGGTCGCCTGTTTTTTATCTTCAGGGTGGGATCCTGTGCACATTGAGGCAGAAGCACTTCTTGCAGCCACAGTGGTGGGACTTTCCTGCCCTGCCTCTAGATGGGCTGGGCTGCATCCTCAGAGCTCCTTGGAGCAGCAGTCGCAGCAAAACGGGGGGGGGGGGCAGAGGGGAACAGCCCCAGGGTGACGCGTGAGTGAGGCAGGTCATGTGCCCACAGTGTGCCGCATCAGTGACGCTCCTGATCTCCCCCGGAGACGAGCCGGGGTGCGGAGTAACCAGCACGGGGCCGCCTCCGTCGTGTGTGTCTCTGGTGCCCCCTCCCCCCCCACTGCAGAGCTGCCGCTCTTTTGAACTGGGGACGCGTGGAAAGTGAGGCAGCACGGTTTCCCGCACACCGAGCCCATGGAGAGCTCTGCGTCATTTGACATGGCGGTGTGTTCAGGCTGGCACCGGCGACCAGCGGGGCCTTTGTTTCTAAGTGCCCTCTTCTCCCGCAGGGTGCCACATCCCCCTCTTCTCCGGCAGTCCGCGTGCCCGCAGCCATGCGCTTTCTGATGACGAGCAACATGCGGCCAGCACGCGGAGTCTCCAAAACCTTCTCTTGCAGAAGATCAGGGCTAGTGCTTCAATAGCAGTACGTAGCATTACCCACAAAAAGCAGAAAACAGACAAACTGCAGCGCGTGCATCTGGAAAGACCATCTGCATTGGAGGGGCTTTACCAGAGGAACAGCCTGCAGGGCACGAAGGCTCAACAGGTAGTGCAGTGAACTTTCCAATGTCCAAAAGCCGGGCTAGTTTCTGAAGCCGTGCCAGCACCGTCTGGCCATCAGCTTGTTAGGAAGCGCACCAGAGAGGATGGCCATGGAGCTGCAAATCCCAAGTAAGCAAGCTCTTAGATAAGAGCTGTTTTTGGCCGTGAGAACTGAAACCGTTTCCTTGAGGGAAATGACTTCTTCCCGGTCTCCCAGGAAGGGGGGTGAGAGCCGGCCTGTGCTGACAGCCTGTGAAATGGGGCGGGGGGGGGGAGTAACATTATCAAATCAGCACAAGAGGCATTTTGTTCTTGGCTTGGGAAGAGAATTTGACTCGTTGCTTCGGGGGCCCACAGAGCGTCCCCTTGCCTATTCAGGGAACAGATACAGCCTCTGATAAAGGGAAGGCTAGCTTTCTTTCACTTGTTTATATTCTGCATCCATATTTCATCCTTATATGTATTCAATAAGCTGTACATCATCCTTGACACATGTGGTTTTGTTTCTTCCTAAGTGTCCTCGAATCCAAATGGCGCCGCTTTGCTTGAACCAGGACTGTGGGCCCTGAAACGCTGCTCGTCTTCCGCACGGCGCGAGCCACGTGCGGACAAGTCCGTCGCCAGCGATCTTTCTCTTGGTGCCTGCTTTTTCCCTTATTTCCTAAGATGTGTAATTGTTGTTGTTGTTGTTGTTGTTTGGACTGGAAGACTGGCCTACTGCAAAACAAAGGACCCATGCGGGTTTAAAAGAGAGGCTCTGTCTTTCGAGAGTTAACGCAGCCTGTTGTGGGCCAGGGCAAGTGACTTTGCTTTGAGTCTGACCACTTTGTCTTCTTGGAAATGAGTGTTTTCTGACCAACATAGTAACATCCTGCCGTTGTCCTTCCAAGGAACCCAAGGTGGTTTTCATGCTCCTCTCCATTTTTATCCTCACAACAGCCTTATGAGGCTCAAAGTCACTCAGGGAGCTTCCTGAGGACTAGAACCCCAATCTCCTGAGTCCAGAACACACAAACTGCTGCCCCACACAGGCTTTCCAAATGTGCCAGGCAAGCAAAGGTGGCAGCCGGGCCACTTGGGAGAAGAGCAGCTGTTCTGGGAGAAAGATGCCCCTCTTTGCCCTCCCAGCGGTCTCTGCATGCCAGTTGCCCCCATTGCTTTGCCCCACCCCCCTTATTCTGAGCACGTGTTTGTAATAAAGATGCACTTGGAGCCCGGCAGGGCAGAAAGCTGCTCGGGGAATGGAGGGCTGAAGCAGGCGAGGGCAAAAGGCTCATCTCCCGCGCCTGCAGCTGCTCCGGGGCCGAGCTGCCCGGCGCAACAGACAGCGCTGCCGTCTGCGCCGGGGCCGGCGGGCGGGTGCGCGAGGTCCGTGGGCGGCCTGCTCGCTCGCTGCAGCGCCCACTTGCTCGTACTTGTAATCGTGTTGGGGGGGCGGTGGCCAGGCAGACACAGCCAGGGCGCTCTTTTTGCGGTTCTCACGTTTAAACCCTGTGCAGTTGAACAGTGACGATTCCCAACCCAGCACACTTGGCAGCAGAAGCAAGTTCCGTGTTTTCCCGCAGGCATGGACGTGGTGTGATTTCAGGAGGCTTAGCATGTGGAACTTGACATGCTTAGAGAAGTCCTTTGAAAAGCAAAATCGGGGTTGTCAGCCACGGTTTCTCGTGCTGTCATTTTTGGAGGTGCTTTAATGTATCATGAATGCCGGAATAGTGGCACAGCGTGGAATGACACGGTGGGGGAGAAGAGAAATTGTGGGGGGGGGGTCAACAGAAGTAATCCATAGGGCCACCAAGAGGGAGAGGTCCTCCGTAAGACCACCCGGCCTGCGGTCTCACACATGCTGGCCACAGCCGGGAATGAAAGCACGGACTGCAGCAAAAGCGGATGGAGAAGTGTGGATGGTTCAGAAACAGCTTTGCAGAAACAGCTTCTCCGAGTCTTCTCTAGAGGAGAGAGCAACTGTAAGAAGGGAGTGTGTGTGTGAACAAAAGAGAGAGAGAGAGAGAAGGCAGTTGCTAATCTATTCCAGACATGCATGCCAGAAGGCCCAGAAACGAGGAAGCTGAGCAGAAGGGAGCCGGCTACCCGCCCGCCAGCCATCACTCACCCTCTGCGAGCCAAGCCACGCAGCCCTGCTCCCGGCCTGACAGCTGAGGCCGCTGCTTCTGCGCCAGTGGGTACCTGTCCACATTTCCCACCTGGCGTAATGGAACCCGGATTTGGGAGCAACCCAGCAGCCAGCCTCCCGCACCCCCTTGCTGCTGAGCGGCTGGCCTCTCTCCTGGTTCTGCAGATGCGCTTCCCGGAGGCGTGTGGTTGGCCGCTGACCGACCCCTGCTCGAGATGGACCCTCAGTCCAGCCAAAGAGGGCGGTGCCACCGGAGCAGGACTCACGGGGAAGCGGCACCAGGGGCTGCGGCAGCAGGGCCCCTCTTGGCACCTGCTGCCCGCACAGCCTTCCTTGAGGCTGCTGCTCAGAGCTGTGACGCTCCCCATCCCAGGGAGGCCGGACTGGGTTCCTGCAGCAGCATCCTGCTGTGACACCGTGGCGCTGAGGGCATCTTGGTCTTCGTGGGACCAGCTTGACCCAGAGCCTGCTCCGGTGGGAGGACAGCTGCCAGGGCTGGCTTCTTGGTGTGGAAAGGCACGGCTGCCTGCCAGGGTGGACCCCTTGAGGAACGCCGCTTCAGCCCCCCGCACTTTCAAGCAGGCCGCCGTGCCACTGGCTGGTGTCCGGCAGCAGGACCTCCGTTTTCAATCCCAGGCAGCCTCTCCACGGACGGAGGGAGAAACCGCTGCCTGACTCCCTGCAGAGTCGCTGCCCCCAGTCCATGTCGCCAGTGCGGGCTAAGCAGATGCAGCCTTGGATCTGGTACAAGGCACCTTTTGGCTTCGCGAGGAAGGGGCAAAAAGCCCCAGGTTCCATCTGCAGCGACCTCTCCCGGAAGGTCCTGGGAAAACTGCCTGAAATCTTGGAGAGCAGCTGGGCTCAGTCTGCAGGATGTTGGAGAAAATGGCAGTGGATCCAAATGCATTTGGATTTCTGTGAACCTGACCAGTGCTATTCCACGGTGGAGAGGCTTTTCCCAAGTTACACGAATTCTACAGATTCGTAGACTTAAAATAACAAACTTTCCATAATTCAACACAAATTCAGTTGTAGAAAAACACAAAGAATGAACAACAATGTACATTTGAGCCAGCTGGAGCTGGGGGTCAGACTAGATGGCCCAGGAGACCCCTTCTGACTCGCTCAGTTTCTATGTTTCTATTTCCAACCATAGATTAAAGCATGGGGTTGGTATGGCACATTCTTGGATGTGCAAATTTGTGCAGATGAATATGGATGCATTTGTGCAAAATCTGACTCCGTTAATGGACAGGAAACAGGAGGAACGGGACCTGAGAGCTGATAAAACGCAGACAGAACATCTCAGAGAGCGTCTGTGCATCGCTGCTGACGCACGAGCAAAGGGGACCGAGTGGCCTGCTTGGTTTGACATTCAGGGGATTCTGTCCAGAGCAGGGACAGGCCCGTCCATCTGGCAAAGGAACAGGCAAAGCCAAAATATGGAACAACAGCTCGACCCCCTGCCCGTGTCCCGTCTGTATCCTGCCTGGCTTCCTGTGCACCTCAGAAGTCGGGTTCCCCACCTAGTGCACTGAGCTCGCTTCCTCCCATTCTCGTTCATTTCCTACCCTCTTGCCACGCGCTTCCGCTCCCACTTTTTTTTGCCATTCTCCTGAGCCATCATTTCCCTCTGAGATGTTTGGAGGTACCTTTAGAAGCTCGCTTGGAAAGTGCTGCGCTTCTGCAGACCGTCAGGTCCGTGTGGGTCAGAAACAGCCATCTGGCATTTGCTCAAAATGCAACATAGGAATTGCAGTTGCAGATTTGGGAGAATTCCCAGCTGTCAGGACGTCACGCAGGGGTTCCTCCCCACAGGAGCTTCCACGGCAACTTTTCACAACCCCAGGCCTGTGGGTCAAAGCCAGCCTGTCTCATCAGGCCCCCTGGGAACCCCCAGAGGACCCTCCCAACTGCTGGTTGCTGCTGCTCCGTACTCCCCCCTTCTGCAAAGGCTGAGGTGCCGCCCCAAGGCTTAGGCACCACCAAGAATGGCTTTACCCTGAGTGCTTCTTTAGGCTAGTATTTTGCCCCCCCCTTTGCTCTGGCCCCGCCCACTGTTGGAATGCAGCCCTCCGGCAGCGAGCGCAACCCTGGGGGTGACAGAGGTTCAGCACCCCTGATTCGGAAGACGTCTGAACTGCCTTTCCACCAGCCCCTCCTCCAGGCAGTTTCTGCAGGACTCCTCCAGCGCACGTGCCCCTAAGCCCCCAGCCCTATAGCACCCCCTGCCTCTTTGGCTTCCAAGCCCATGGATGGAGCTGGGCGACACTTGTGTTGGCTGACACCCCCAGCGGACCTGGAGCCGAAGCCAGGCACTCTTGCCAGGAAACGTTGCAATTTCGAAGCACCTCACCTCCGGAGATTTTTCTGGCCAGCTCGTTCTACCTTCCAGGTCTCAGAAGCATCAGAGGTGCCTTGGTTTTGCCAACCCTAACCCTACCCTGGATTTTCCCCATGACCCTGAAATAGGGGCAACACCACCAGGAAACATTCCAAGTTCTAAAACCCTCTACCAGCAGCTTCTCCTTCTCTGGCCAGTGCTGGCGTGAAGGTGGGCTGCCCCAGGCCATGGGGAGGTAGGTGGGCAGCTGGATGGCTGCATGCCGTTAACTGTCTCCAGGGGGATAAAAAGGTAGATGCCCCCAAAAGTGGGATACTTTTATTTGGAAGGCCAGTGCGGTGCAGGCATTCGGCAGTTGGGCTGGGGCTGGGGAGATCTGGGTTCGAGTCCCCACTGGGCCGTAAAGGTCACTAGATGACTTCAGGAGAGTCACCAGCTCTCAGCTGAGCCTACTTCACAGGACTGTTGTGAGGATGAAATGGGGAGGAGGATTATGTATTCTACTTGGGCTCCTTTGCAGGAAAAAAGCTAACTTTTCAAAAGATAGAACTTTACAAGACAATGTGAATAATAATATTTTAAAGGCACATCCAAAAACAATTTAGAACAGCCCACAATAATAATTTTGGGAAAAAACCACTCATGACCTTTTCTTGTAGGTTTTTGAGTTTTTAATCAGATGGGTTTTTAATCTGGTCTGTCTTATTGATTGCTGTAACGCTGGGGGGTGGGGCATGCGCATTGCCTGCTCTTATGTTTGTGGGTAAATAGAATGTTGTGCTTTGCATGCTACATTATTTTTACTCTCTGTAAGCTGCTTGGAGAGCTTTGGGTTTGGGGCAGCCACAGAAATCCGGCCATGGGTCCAGGCAGAGCTCCTCGGAAACCCAGAGCCCAGGCGGGTAGGTGAGCGAGACGCTCTAGAGGCCCCGTGCCCGGCCCGGGACCCGCACGGTCCCCTTGTCCAAGCAGCAGCTTCCAGGGCGCAGAGCTGCAGTCCAGCCCTGAGGTCTCTCACACCACTGACTGATGCCTTGTCCAAGAGAAACATCGGCTGCTTACATCATGGACCACACAAATGCCATAAAAGTATTGCGAAGATTGGCTTAATCATATGCAGTTAATTGGGGGGGGGGGGAGACAGAGGCCTAAATGCAAAAGTTGGGGAATCTCTGCTTGGCAAGGTGATCCTCTCAGTTTTAAATGTTGGGCTGAGGCTTCTCTTTTCGGCACTTCCCCGAGTCTCCAGTTACTCCGGAAAGGGGGGATGTAGGCGCTCCCTTTTGGTGAACCCTCTTGTGCTGCCGCCCTTCATCCTCCCCCATTTAGGGGTGCATTTCAGTTGACAGCTTGGCAGTTAGTTCCTGGAACTACGTGCAAATTAACCTGTATAGCATCTTTCTCTGTCAGTTTCCTTGTC